AGTATTTTTTAACACAAGTATCTGTACTTTTACTCAAGTACGGAAAGTGAGTACTTTTGCCATCTCTGGTTAACAGGTTCATGCAGAGGAAATCTATTATTTGGGAAATACTTTTTTGCAGCACTGTAGTTGTTTTCCTTCACTTCTCCAAATTTCAAACTGAAGTACTTCTGAATTCCATTGAGAAGTATTTATAACCAACGGCATGTTCTCAAACTTGAATACCTTTGTTCTTAGATCTAAGGACATTGAGACTTCATCTGGTAATGGAGACATGGCCTTCCAGGAGGTGCGGATACAGCAGTCAGTGATAGAGTTTATTTTAAACCACACAGAGCAAATCTTCAGCGGGGATTCTGAAGAAGTAAAACCCAAAGAAGGTATAAAATCCACAAGTATTAATACACAGGTGTATTGAGACTAAACTAGTTTGGGACTTTTACTTTTATATGACATACTAACAGAATATGCCTTTGTAGGACCAGGGTTGATGTGTGCGGAGAAATATGCTACACTCCCAATCAGTGGTGGGAGTGGGCCCATGAAACTGATGAGCTTGGAAGAAGCCCAGGCCCGCTCCCTAAGTCCAAACCATCCGGTGCACAAAGAACGTCAGCGAGAGAACAGCCTACCTGATACCAGCACTGCATCGCTTTATCACACTGTGATAGAAATATCAGATAGCAAGTGAGTTCTCCGTTCAGGATTTTAGGTCAAAGATAGATATCTTACAGGATGAGAGAAAACTGTAAAAAAAAAAATAGAAAGAAATGTAACTTTTAATTTCCCATTTTTTCCATTAGGAGGAGAAAATCAAGGAAATGGAAGTCCATCTTTAACCTTGGAAGATCTGTAGACTCAAAGGGAAAACTCAGTCGCAATGGCAGCGTGTTCATCAGAGCCCAGGGGACGTCAGGTCAGGCTTTGCTCTTTTCCAACGAAAGCTACTGCCAACATGAAAAAAAAAAAAACTGTTTTAATATTAAATTCCCTAACAGACTTTAAATGAAAATGCATGCTCAGAAAATAACATAGCAGTGACAAAAAAACAAATTAGACAAAATGGAAAACAATGTTTCCCAGGCATCAGACTGTGATAAATGTTGCAAAAGGATAGAAACCATTTCGCACAGAGGTTCTCATGTATTATAAGACAAAGACTTCCTCATTATATAAAAAAAGGAGTTTCATGATGTTGATATGCAGGTTAAAATTATATCACAACATGCCTTAATCTCTAAAAGAGGTGTATAATTTAAATTTATATTTAATATTAAAATTATGTATCCGACAAGTGCATTATAGAATCTCCGTTTTTCATGCGACATTCACATGTATACATTTCATTATATCTTTTGGCCCTCAAGGGAACCAAACCATCTTGCGAACCTCCACCTGGTGTCTCATGTCCCCCACTTTGGGAACCTCTGCTCTCTCTCCAAGATATTCTTATCCATTTTTCCTGATTTTTCCTGAGATGAGTTCAATAATATGTAATTATTAACAAATAAAATATATTTTAAAAGATTAACGTTTCAAGTCTGAGATACAATGTTAACAAATACTTTCTCTATAGTTTGACATCTGTGAGGTTAAAAGTTTCTGGTTAAACCAGACCTCAAAGTCCTAAATGTCCACCTTGCATACAAATTAAGTAATTTCAATGATAAAATAGCCCAAATATTTTATTTCTAACTCGATTACCTGTATTTCATTGAATTTCTACATGCACATTATTCATAATTTATTTTGTAAACATTTTGCTGTAGGGTTTGGAAATACAAGCATCTTTGAAATACTTTGCTTTTAGCTATTGCATATAGGAGAACCTCGTTCCAGAGTTTAGAGATGAACAAACTTGTTTCTGAATATGGAATTAAAACACGGTTTGGTTTGATGTCACTCCCTTTTTCCAACTTTAAATTCCAGCGGTTAATAAAATGGCATATTAGTAAAGGCAGTCAAAGTACCAGTATTGGTTGGGAGAACAACGGGCCGAAAAATGTCTGATTGTTTTGAATGAGAATGATGGCAGCAAAGCTTCCTGCATGAGTGAACTTCCCTTTGAGTTGGAAACCAGAATAAAAAAAAAATATATTAAAACTCATAAACCTTTATTCATTTTTTAAAGTACTTTACTTTATATATAAAGATGAGACTAAACTACATGTCTTATGTTGTTCCAGAGAACTAAAAGGTTGATAAGAATTCATGGCCAGAAACATTAAAATATAAATGTTGAGATGAAAAGTTATTACCGGTACTTATTTATTGTCTTAAGGATTTATTTATAAAATATTGACCTTTTTTTTTTTTTTTACAGACAAGGCAGCTCTGCGTCCTTCCAGAAGCATGGAGTCCTTGTGCTCCTCATCAGCAGGTGAACTTAAGTCGTGTATCTCTATATCACAACAGTATTTTGCAAAAACGTTCCTTAAATCTTTTTTTTTTTAAGAGTTTGTCATGCTACAAATTTAAACTTTAATAAACAGTTGTGCTTGAAAGTTTACATGCCCTCCCACTAAAAACAGATAGAAATCAGCTACCAGTAATAAGTAATAAAAAATAATACTTTAAAAAATGTAAATAAAAATAACATCAGAAAATGGAAGTCATGACATTGATTTTGAATATCCCTCTCATCTTGTGGTCTTGCGCTTATATATATATATATATATATATATATATATATATATATATATATATATATATATATATATATANTATATATATATATATATATACTTTCAAGCACAACTGTATATCTGGGGATGTTAAATGGCAAATAAGCTCATAAATTAGATAATTATGATGCAAAATAAACAAAAGCTACCCTCATCTCACAATCTGTTATAAGTGCAAACTGAAAAGTTTAGTATATGGTCCTCTGTGATAACACTGAATAAAGTTGACTTTTATGGCATATTTATGTGTTTTGGTTTTAGAATAAATTAAGCTTTTCAGTAAAGATGTGTGAGGTTGATAGGACATTAGTGACAAGGAATAGAGTGGACAGGCCAGGGAGAAAGTTGAAGAGGAGTTTAAAGCACTGCAAGATTATATACCCAAGTTCCAAGCTTTTATAATCTCTGATATTACTCTTAAAATCTGAAAACAGAAAGAGTTTTTACAATTCCAAACTTATACGCTATGACAGAACAAACATTAATTGGAGAATCAGACAATAGGTCTTGAGTTACTCTAGAGCAGGCATCCCCAAAGTCGGTCCTCGAGGGCCGCTGTCCTGCAGGTTTTAGAGATTCCCCCTCTCCAACATAGCTGATTTTATTTGAAAGCTGATTAACAGGCTTTTGCCTGACTTCAATCATCATGATCAGCTGTGCTAAAGCAAGGAAACCTCTAAAACCTGCAGGACAGCGGCCCTCGAGGACCGACTTTGGGGATGCCTGCTCTAGAGAAACTGGAAAGATTGACAACTCTGATGTGAGAGTCTGCTGATAGGAGGGCTCCTAACAAGGCTCTGGATAAATCTTGTTAAACAAAAGTCTATGTGCAAAACACTATGTTTGAAAATACATGAAGAACATAAAATCACCCAAAGTGAATAGTGGTGGCAGCATCATACTCTGGGCGTGTTTTCTTCATTCAGGGCAGGAAACCAAAATTAATGGAATAAATAATTGACCTAAATATGGGACAATCTTGGAAGAAAACACATCAGATGCTGCAGGGACATTGAGAGAAGAGGAATCTGTTTGACTGGCACAGACAAATCCTAGACTTTAACTGGAATAAATATGTATGACACGAGATGAAAGTCAATCTTATTGATCAGAACAACTTAGAGCTGTTAGTTTTGTAAAGCTGTGAACCAAAATAATAACAATAAAATGTGGTTTCTAATTTTTTAGGTCTTATTTGTTATAGAATCTTGTTTACATTCGTCTTTACGATGGGGTTACTTTGTGTTGGTCCCTGATATAGTCTCCATAAAGAAAAACATTGAGGTTTGTTGTTGCAACACGAAAAAAGTGCAAATTAAAAAAGTAAAAAGGCTTGAATGAGCACTAAATGTAAACATCAAGATTTTAATCACAGCCTCTTTAAAAATAAATTTGCAACTATTTTTTTTCTTTTGCAGTGGGGATTCCATCTATATTTATGATGTTGTTATTTTTATTTCACAGATGATGATGGAGCAAGAAGCAATACCTCAACTGATGGAAGCAATAGTATTTTTATTCCTGATGTGAAATCCAGAACACTAGGATCTGACTCGCTCCATGAACTGACTGAACCAGAACAAAAATGGGATATTAAAGCAAAGAAAGGTGGTGCCATGGCCAGCTGGAGCTCTGGCCTTAACCAAAGAGACTCACCAGGCGCTTCCTCATCTTCTCAGAAAACAATGCCAGAACAACTCAAGGTGTTCAAAGGGGATGAGCACAGCTACAAGCCGAGTTCTCCAAAAAACAGAAGGATGCTTTATTCAGGCTCCTCCCGACCATCATTTCCAGGCAGCTTCTTTCCACTTGAGTCTTCTCCGAGGCACCAGCGCAGAGCCGTCAACATATCTGAGCCTTTTGCTGTATCTGTGCCCTTACGAGTTTCTGCCGTCATCAGCTCTAACAGCACGCCGTGCAGGGGACTCAACAAAGAGAAAGCAGCCACTTTGAAACCTAGCAGAGAGCCTTCAGTGCAGAGCAGCCACTTCAAAAAGAGCAACACTTTCCCTCTGCTGGAAGCGAAAAAGCAGGAAGGAAGAGAGAAGAAGTCCACAGAGGCCCTGACCTCCAAAATGTCACCAGAAGGTGAGGACATCTTCTTCTCTGTGCCTTTTTTTAAAATAGCCTTTCTTTAGCTGTGTGTGTATTATTTGATATGGAGGAAAATATATTTTTGTTTCAGAGTCATTTAAGGAAGGATTGCAAAAAACTGAAGCAGAAAGGATCACTTCTAAACTGGAAGCAGCTCCCAATGCACAAAAAAGTGAAGACAAGCATATGTTGCCATCTTCTGGGGAAGACTTGCACAATCTCATTAAACATACACAACTGGTAAATGCTTTACAGTCATATCATTTCCTGCTATTATCATAGAGAATTTAACCACAAACATTCACACTCCTGATAGATTATAATTCAAAGACTGTCTCATTAAACAAGTTGGTTATTTCCTTATTGGACATGAAAACTTTTCTCTTAAAAGATTTTTTTTTGTTTCATTTTATTTTTCTACATTAAATGGATATTGCTTTTTTTAAATGATTCATACACATCAGTAATCATCAGAAAAATATTTATTAGCTTCCAAGGGAACAAATTACTTTTTTTAATTGCTGACAAATGTTTTTGATGTTGGTTGGAAGGCCTCCTTGCGATTACCCGAATCCTCTTCTCTCTCTAAAGATTCTATCCCTGTTTTAATGAATCAAATAGGTAGAATTTGTCTAGGCCTTTTTTTTTTGTTTGTTTGTTAACTATTTCTCCACCAGCTTTGCTATGAAATGGCACCCATTTAATTATCAAGTGCTACCAAAGACCCAGTGTTTCTGAAGATGGCCCTGTGATGTTGAGTCTTTTTGCAGTTTGGGGATTATTTGATGCCATTTTGTTCGATCAATCTCTCTGTCCGCGAAGCCACCAAGTCATTGGGCTTCTAGCACCTTGCTTTATTAAGGAGATGGGATTCTTTGATTTCAATGCTTCTGATTTCATGCCAAATAAAGGCAATATCCTTGAGGCAAAACAATTAAACTTTTGTGTAATTTAACCATAAAACAAAAGAGCAATTCTTTATTCTACAATGAGATTTAATGCTGAGAGAAGTGGCCTCCTCTTTTGTCTGCATCCATGGAATCCAGTAATAAATTTGGACTATATGCTTTAATATGGTACCACTGGCTGCTACAGTTTCCTGGACGCTCATTGATGATCCTTGGTTCCTGGTTTTCATCTTTGACCATCAACCTTGCTAGTACTTACTACCATTTCCCATATAGTGTTTACAGTGTGAAACATTAAACAAGTAATGCACAAGACAAACACGGAAATTGCTTTTGTTCAGATCTTTGTGGTATAGTAAAATAAAATAATTTGACACAAATCTATATGATTTTTAATCAGAAGTGGTGTTTGCATTTAGGTTTCCTTCAAATCTGACATTGGTATGAATAATGTTCAGTTTAATCACATGTTTTTTTTTATTTCATTGGAGTAAAATCATTTCTTTTTATATTAATTATGCTGAAATTCATGTCCTTGCATTAAATAAAGTCAAATGATGAATTTTCTATCTTTTTTGTTGTTGTTAATTCATGTCTGCTTTTATCTCTCAGGATGATGGACCATCTCCTGGGAAACTTGACCTCCATCAAAAGCTGACAATTGATGAGCCTGAAATCAACCTGCTGCGCAAGACTTTTAAACCTGTTTTTTCTTCAACAAACACCAAGTTAACAATGGATGTTAAATCAAAGCGAAGCCGCAGCTCTCCATCTTTATCTTTGCTGTGTAAGGAGCCATCGAATGCATCTTTGGGTGCAAACAGATCTGACTCCAAAAGGAAGCAGCCTTCAGAATCAGACCTCTTGTTTTGTGTTCACAAAAACTTTGACATCCAACTTTCCGGTGCATTGGATGCAAGCGAGAAGCTGCAGCCTTTACAGAAACATACAGCTTACAGCAAGGAATGCCAAGTTCCTAGGAGGGAATCCAGATCAGATTGTGTAAGAAATCCTTTAACACTAGAGGATGCCCCACAGGTTACCAGCTTCTCAGACAGTACTAACAGAAAACCTGAGAACGAAGAGGACACCAAAATATCACAGGATGAAGTAAAGAAATCTATCATTTCTGAGATGGAGGCCTGTCAGAGACTCTCGGTGTGTTTAGAGGAGAGACGAAACACACCAGAGCTGGCCAACCTTGACGATGAAGACGGATGTGGGAGAAACCTGGAGGAGCTGGACTTGGTGGAGTCCTGGGAGGATCTTAGCTCCACCAATCAATGGGTTACCAGTCCTCTCCACTCGACCGACGTGGAGGAGCTTTTTAACCAACTTTCCCCCTTCAGTTCAAAGGGAGAAACTCTGAGTTCAGAGGCTTTAACCTCGGGAAAACTTCCTGAGAATTTCAGCAGTAACCCAGAAATCAAATGGACCAATCTGCCATCAGTGCCTAAACGAACAAGCTTGAACAACAGCAACTCCACCCAACCTCAAACTGCAAAGAGCAGCACAACAAAACCAAAGAATACAGCATCATCTCATAGGTTTGGCAGGCAAATATCGTTTGAAACTACAGTGTCTGAGAAAAGAGAAGACCATGGCTCTTTCAGGCACAGACCCTACTCCCTAAACTTAGACCTTGGTCATCGCTGCATAAGAGACATTTCAAACCAGCAAAATCGGAACTCGTCTGATTTTTCTTCTATTTCGAAGAGCTTATTGGCCTCATCTGGAACTGTGACTAAAGGACACTCGGAGTTGGACCTGTTTCTAAATGATCGACAGGCACCATTACGTCGAAACTCTGCCCCAGTCAGCGTGTCATCAGTGCGCACACCCTATATGATAAAAACATGCCAGGTCAAAGCCGTACCTGTCGTCCCTCCACAACTTCAGTACAGCCAGATACCTCCAACAAGGCTAGAGAGCGATTCTACTACTGTGAAGGAGCAAGAAAACGGATTTTCAAAAACAAGTGGAGACACTTGCACTGCTATGATGCCTCTGGTGATGTCAGACCTAAAGGAGGAGCTGGAGAACAAAGAGCCAACTCCAAAACACCAAAAACATCTAAATGTTCAAAAATCAGCTGAGGCTGCAAAGACCCCAACTACAGAACTGCCAGTCATAACCAGGCGACATGCTCCTAGTCTGGAGGTTTTTGTAGATGGCCCCAGACCCAACCGAGGGGCACTGTTACAAAGACCGTCCTTTAGAAACCGTCAGAGACCTCAGAGCCTCATCCTTCTCAGCCCACCTTTCCCATTCATGGACTATCCGACATCAGGGGATGATGGCAAGCTGCTATCATCCATCAAGAATCTGAACGACACGTCCACGTTAAATGTCTTTACTAAAGAGATGACAGAGAGCTTCAGGACGCAAGAGGGACAGAATAAAATGACCATTCCAAAAAGCGGACAGAGACTGGAAACATCAACCAGCTGCTTCTACCAGCCTCAGAGAAGGTCCATGATATTTGACAGCAGGAGTCACAGACAGATTGAGTGACTGCATGCAGATGGATAAGGCACATAAAAACTCTCTTGATAGAAGAGAAAAGGTTTGCGAGGATAATATTTGGGATCAACTGTTCCGTTAGTAATGGATTCCTTGCAACAAGAGGCTAAGTCATTGAAAAAAATCATAGCGGAAGCCATAGGATCAATATTTTTATTCATTCTCTGTTAGTCCTTGTTATTTTTTTTGGTGTAATCATTTTTTATTAAATAATAATTATATTTTCTAGTGTGGTAGCAGCAGGAAATATGGGCAAAAAAAAAAAAAAATAGATTTGCTGTGGTTAGAAGGCAGGCTTAGCGCAACCGGAAAACTGCAGCTCTAGTGAGGTGTTCTGAATCTTGGTCAGAATCTATCATAATAAAGGAAAGGGGCCAGGGAGGCCACAGAGGCGAACTGGCAAAAGGGCCCATGGCACTGATGCATGTAGGGAGCAAAGGGTGTCCCAGGATAACTTACAGGCTGCTGTAAATTAAACTGCTGAAGATGTTCATGCTGGTTCATCAGAGTAGGTTGAATAGAGAGATGTAGCTGCAGACTAGTCAAGGTTCCCATGTGGTTCATAAAGTTATGCCTACTCTGTTAGGCTTAAACATGCATAGGGTATAGACGCAACTCATCTAGTTAACAACAAAGAAATCTGTTATTATTACTGCTGATACAACTTAGTGGCAAAAGAGATCAGTTTTCAGTCCTTCAGTATCAAAAACTGTAGAGTACAACTCAGGTCGTGTCCTAAGTTTTGCACATAATAAAGTCAATTAATTCAGAATCAAAAAGCGACTTATTTGACTGACTGACAACATTGCTCTTTTTTTACTTTTCTTTTTTTTTTTTTTTAGCTCATTTGCATAAAGTGATTAAGCTCAGAAACTTTCTTTCCAACAATAATTTGCAAAATCAAAGAGCAATGCTGACCTTTACAGTACTTGGGGTGGGCTTTGCTTTGCTTGGACCATGATGAGTTTTGCAAACCTGAGCAGTAACACTAGATGGAGCCAACTGAAGCAGTTTCAAGCATCATGTTTTGCACCTACTAAATACTGACACTATCAACTAATAAAATACTAATTTCTCATTCAGGTTAGCAGTTTTTCTTTGACACAGAGTTTGCAGGCCCATAGAAAGTTTTTTTTAAGCAAAATGAATTACAACGGTAAAAAAAGATGAAAAGAAAAGATGAGTTACTCTGCATAACATAAAACTCCTCCTGTGGCGGACACATTTCTGACACTGATACAATAATCTGCATTACTTTTATTCTGTAGCTGCTATATAATTCAGCAGTAGTATTTAATGATCATAAAAGGGATCAGAGAAGAAAAAAAACAACAGATGTGCTGTTTTATAATCTACAAAACAAACAAAGTGCCAACACACATGAAAAAAGGAGAGAAAATTTCACACCTAAAGATCTTTTTTCTGAGGAAGACAAACAAAAGTCAGTTTTACTTACCTAGAAATGCACCAAACAGTGAATTGCTCCAAACCCCTGAATTTAAATCTGAACTTTTCTTTTTTTTCTCTCGATTCATTGTGAAGGAATTAATGTTTTTATATAAACACATATTAAGATTGTAGCCGGGGTAAACTGGTATTAAAATATTTTTTTTAATTAATGCTTTAATAAATATCATTTATTTTAAAGCAGCTTGAAGATGCCTTGAGCTAAAGTCAGATTTTGGCGTCTCCAGATTGTTATTCCCGCCTCTTTTTCATGATCTGTTTTAGCAGATCACCTCTAAATGCACAGCATAGATGTTTGATATTTAACATACCTTGGAAGCTTTCAGTTTGAAAGTTTTTTTTTGTTTTTTTTTATACCACACTTTTGATGAGCCGGATGATGAGTGTAACTCTGATCTTCGCATTTAATGTTTTGTGTTTCAGCTTTTATAATCTCTGTATGCTTGATGAGACTGAGAAGGATTGAATTCCCTTTATGAATTCGTATGAAAATGTTTTGTGTTTTACAATTTCTAAGGCTAATGACTGATGATGCCCATCACAGTAATGTAAATATTATTTCTGATTTTGTTACAGATTGTCAGAACAAAAAAATCAAAGCATTGTTATTAAATAAGTGTATTTAGATTTCCATTTTATTTTATTTTATTTCTTTCAGCTTTTATGACTTTTTGGTTATATTTATAATCAGCAGTGCCACTACTAGAGATGTAGATGCCATTTTGTACTAGATACAAAAACATTTATGTATGTCATATATCAGACAGTTTGGGAACTTTTGTCTCATCTCTAAACCTTGACTTTTTATTTATCTCAAGCACAATGGATGGAGTAAAATAGAATATAAAGAGAAAACAACTGCATTTAGACATTATGGTTTGTTTTTTCTTTTGTACTCTGTGACAACCTCCTGATAAAAGCTCCTCCAGTCTGTGTATTTTTGTCCTTAACACTTTACAAAATTGGAAAAACAGGAAACACGTCACTCCAGTGTTGGACATGTTGATCTTTATATATCAGGAAATGGCAACAGGAAAATAGCTTCTCTCCCCAACTTGCTCAGTTGCATTCAGAGCATTGAATAAAATAGATAACTTCTCAAATATTGATAAAAAGTCTGGATTAGGAGCTAAGTTTGTCTTTCTACCATGCACAATAACGAGGATGTATTAGAGGAAAAAGAAACCTCTAAGGTTCACTGCTGGGGAAATGCTGCATAACAATTTTGAAATAATATATTCAGTATGAATATGTGTAGACGTTTCATTCTCTCTGTATTTAAGGAAAATGTTGTAAATTGTATGTTTATTTTTTTTTATTATTTTGGTGATATATAATTATCAAGGGATCCCTCTTACTCATTTCTACAGCAAAATTATACTTCATTTTTTATTGGGTACATAAGTAATTAGTACCTAACTTTGGATTACAATCAGTGTCACATTTCACACCACCAAAAAAATCATAGAAGTAAATTATCAATAGTGTTGTTTTAATATCTGATAAAACTTTTTCATAGTGGTAGCAGAGTTAAACATCCATCCACTTCTCGATGGATGTTCTGTCACAATTAATCCCAGTTGGGGGTGTGAGGGGTGCTGGTGCCTATCTCCAGCTGTTAATGGGCGAGAGGCAGGGTACACCCTGGACCAGTCACCAGTCTATCACAGGGAAACACAGACAACAGTACAAACAACCATTCATGCACACATTCACACTTAAGGACAATTTAGAGAAGCAAATTAACGTATCAGTCATGGTTTTGGACTGTGAGAGGAAGCTGGGGTACCCAGAGGGAACCTACGCAGGCACAGGGAGAACATGCAAACTCAATGCAGAAAGACCCCAGGCTGGGGATTTAACCCAAAACCTTCTTGCCACAAGACAGCAGTGCCCACTGCGTCACTGAGCAGTTAAAAAGTCTGACTTTTTTTCTGCTGCTACTTGTTTATTCATATGAGTTTATTTCAGGTTATTCCAAATTTAAATAAGAATGCCACTCCATTCCATCCTCAGTTTTTGGTTTAATACTTTATTGTAGATCAAAGGAAAAAAATTATCTGAGGTGTGTGAATATTACTATGGAAAATGTGATTATACTGTTGTTATTGGAAAATACTAGTTTAAAGCTCTATAGGCCTATTTTCACCCTCTGAAAAATAAGTTTTTTTTACCTGAGACCATTGAAGATGTAAGAATCCATAATTACTGTTTGGTAATAACTACCATTATTGATTTCCTAGGCTGCATAACTTCTTGCTCTTTCTCTGTGTAAAACGTTTGTTTACAACTTTAAACTCATATACCCTATCCCTCTTTCATGGTCAAAGACCTCTACTGGAAAAGTTGTAAGTCTTTGGTGCTACCGATTAAGGACTACTTAGGAGCCCTCAGGATTGATGGGACCCTAATTCTGTGATTCCAGACGTTGCTCCTTATGGTGTACCTGTATGTTCTCAGGAGCCATCCTTGGCTGTCCAGCAACCGAACAGTAAAAACAAAATTTTACTCTTCTAATACTCATGGTCAAAAGTCATGCATGGATTCAAAGTCATCATTAAGAGGAATCAGATTAATTTAGACAGTAAATTAATCAGAAAAATATCCCTCACTCTGTGTTTCTGTGCTGCTTCTTAATTACCTTCTGGCATTTTCGGTTAGCTAAAAGGAAAGTATTAACAAGGATAGAAGTCTGATATGATTTGGTTATTTTGATGAGGCAGAAACGCTGAAATTTTGCTTTAAGCAGCAAATATGTTTTTGTTCTTTTACAATTTTTAAGCCATTTTACCACTGCATCAACAGTGCTTTCTAAGGAAGAATAAAGAAGAACTGGTCAAGAGATCAGACTGCCACCCATGCAAAACATGTTCAGGAATGGCAACAGCCAGGTAAGAGCAGACACTCCTGCACACTGGCTCAGTGCCAAGATGGGAAACCATTTCTTTTGAAGAACAACGAGTACAGACTGCCTTTCGGGAAGAAGATCCAGGGTTTGTCTGCAGAAAAAAGTTAATTGGTTTTCAGAACATCTGAAAAAGGGACTGCATGTAACAACAAGGTGACTTCTGCCTTCATGTATGTGATACAGAGAAAAGAAGCATCCTAGGAACATTCATGTGTTGGGTTATCTTAAGCCACAGAAAGTGGCCTTATGTACAACTGACATGTGAGAAAACATCTTTCAAAAACAAAGGTTTTGATGATAAACATGAGGAGCATCATGTCAAAAGGCACACGTTGCTCATGGCCCCAAATGAAAAATGTTATTTGTCAGGATAACTGATCTATTGTTCAACAAACTCCCTCCTAATCTGCATCTTCAACTCAAAACATTATGCCTGTTTTCCAGACTGCTCAAAAAGGACCCAGTATTTGCCAGCAGGTGCCGCTCCTGCGCCACATTGTAGGCCTACTCGCTACTGCTGGAGAAAAAAAAAAAAGATAAATCTGCTGCTAACAGCGGGGAATCTTGTTCTCAGGCACTTTGTGGGTCTGAAAACTGCAACACAAACACCAGGGTAGTGAAATAGCAGGTGTCCTGAGTATTTGTGCTGACAGGGACTCCGCCTCTTGTGTGACAGGCCTGTGTTGGTTTGTGGTACGTGTGTGCGTGCGCGTACTGGGGGTTGTGCGCTCTTGGATGAAGCCACACAAGCATTGCCCTCTATTTTTATTTAATTTTATCCTCAAACTTTGCAAGCCTTTACTATAACCTAAATCCACAATAAATATTAGCAATCATAGGAGAGTTTAGACTTTGGACAGATAATTTTTTCCATGTTCCTGCAGTTACTCAAAGCAAAAATAAATACATAAATAATAATAATTAGGGTATCATAGACTTAATTAAGAAAATTAAAAGCTAAAATCATATTTTGCTTCTGATTTTCTTAACTTGTTTATCAAAAAGTAAGCAAACAACCCAGTTTGCATCAATATTTGCAAGATTACGCGTAAAATTGCATTTTGATTTGACATATTCTGGGGAAGTGTATGCAATGCTCAGAATAATCCTATAGCCTATTAAACAATGACTCTACTTCAATAAATAAAACCAACTGGATAATCAGATATCTGCATATATCCCACAGGACCTTCCTTCACATCACATAGAGGCAAGTCTTCCAAACGTCTCTTCCATGTCTGCGCAGTTCATTATTTCTGGACCTTTGACACCGCTTGTGTATGGGCCGAGAATTAAAAAGGGCGTTTTCTCAACACACTGAAAAAGGCAAGCAGGGTGCACGGTGCGCGCCTTGAATATTCAATTAGAGCCGGGGGGACCGATGGAAAGCTGAGCTGCGTGCCGGTCCTTCATCTTAAAGTACTGATTAGCTGTTAAACAGATTATGTACAGCTGAGTGGGTTCAAATGTTGCAGCAGAAAAACAGCCGCAGTTCAAGGCAGTGGCGAGCTGTTTCCTGTCCCTGCCACCATTTCAATACTTTGTCGGCATCAGCAGCCCCTTAGAAAGACAGGATCCAGCTTCGTTTGTCCAAAAAAAACATTCCATAATACAAATTGTTTTAATCCACTTATGAAGGTCGAGTTGGTTACATGTAGATGAAACTCAAGGCTGCCTGTTCAAATTATCTGGCTGCATTATTGATGTCAGTGCCAAATTAAAACAGTCATTTTTAAGCCACACGAATCCTGCTTCATCTACGTTTTATAGTCTAAAATCATTCCACCTGACAGATTTGATGGCAGCTTACAGCTTTACGCAAAAGTAAAAACAACTACCAGCTGCAAAAACATAAACAAACAAAAACGAAGTAAAGCTGCACTTAATCAAATAATCATCTATTCAAAAATTCCTGGAATAAAATGTGTCCCCACTTTTAAAAAAATATAGTTTTGTGTAGTTGTTTGGATTCCATGTAAAGTTGGATGCTTGCTTCTGAAACTTGTAAACAAACGTTGTTGTGTTTTTTTTTTTTTTTTTTAAACAAAATAACTTTTTTAAGTTGAATAAACATTGGTTTAAAGTTTCTCTATTTGTTTTCTAAGTTTAACTTCTTTTTCTGGTGCAAAATAAGTTTAAACCAGTTTGAATGTGTAGTGCCAGAGCAAGCCACGCGGGTCCAAAAAAGAGCCCTCTTTGAGAAGCCACGTGTCCGTTTCCAAAGCCTCTCCAACTTAACCACCTCCTTTGTACCACTAACCCACATCGGCAGCGTCCCTCCACATAAAGGGATTTGCAATTTCAAGATATTTCAGCTTAAATGTTTTTGACAGTTCCCCCGCTTTTACCTCGGCTTGGTTATTTTAACTGTGCCAAATGGGTCACCTTGGGTTGCTGTCTGCGCGCAAAGGGCTTTTGCGCGCATTCAGTCTGAATTTTTTCCAACTTTCCTTGACGGGGAAACCAGCTGCTGGTCGTGAAAAGACGGCTTATTAATTGTCCTTTGTCATGCAGAATTGCTTGATTTCTAAAGAAACGTACAAAGGCTCTTTTTCAGGATTCAAGTATTTTGTTTCGTGCGTATTTTTCAAACCATCGAATCAGCTGCAGCGCCGCGCCGTCTACCAGACTCTCAGGTACTGACTGCCTGCTCCCTTTGTCCCCTTTTAATGCTGTTGTAAATCGTGCAGACTGATTTGTTACAAGCTGTTCTTTTAATCTGATAGATAAGAGACATGTCAAAGAAAAGCCGTAAATAAAAAATTAGCCGGAATAAAGACAAGGGCGAGTCTGCTAGATGGGCGCCTGTTGACTCAAGCGGCTCTCCAGCGTCAGGGGAGCCCTCTCCTCCTCTCTGTCAAGGTTACGTCCACAATTCCCCTTTTCTTCTTTTTAAAAAGACACCGTAGTCCTTTTTGCTTCAATGAATTGATCGGCACAAAATTAAGAATAAATAAATTGAGCATTTGGGAACAGCGAGCGTATAAGCTCCCCCAGGGCGCATACCCCCGGGCTATTGAATGGATAAAGGGCGCTTTGCAGAGCACGTTGTGAGCAAAATGGGGACTCTATGGTGCAATTAACAAAATAGTCTAATCCCATATCTTAACAAATGCAAATATTAGAGTTTTGTTAAAATGTTTAAGTGAACTATTAAAGGAAAGTTTGCTGGCGAAACTCCAAAATCCGCAACAGGCACATGAAAAGAGTTCATGCTTTGTACGCAATTAGATTGATTTTCTTCTCTTTAGGAAAAGTTAGATGCAGGTTTATATTGAAGCACATATCCTTTAAAAACAATTTAGGGAAAAACAGCAACTTTTTTCCAGCTGAATCCTGAATCAGAGACTGCTTTTACGGTGCGTAAAACAGTCAAATAAAACTAAAACGTAACACTAAACACTTTTTTGTTTGTTTTATTTAGATTTTATGAACATTAAATATTATTTACCACATTTAACCTAAAAAATAAACGTATAGATATTTTTCCTATAACATTTTTGCTAGGATTATTTCAGGGCCAAATGATGATGCGTATTGGAAAAGCTGGCGCACCAAATTCTTTTTTTGATTCAAGGTCTCAATTTTATACAAGAAATGTAATAACAGGCACATTTATAACTTGTGTGTGTTTTGTTTGTATAAAAATAATATTATTCAAGGAGAGGATGTTTGCTTTGGCGCTTAAAAAGGCCCCACAGTCCATAAAAAAAAAAAAAAAAACTTCACTGACAATGGGAACAATGTGGGTCATGGACACCAAACTGCTCTCACTCCTCATTTATTTTCATGTTAGATCGATATCTTGAAGATACGCTGTCTCTTGATGCGCCATTGTACCACCGCTGCGATTATTAACTCGCTCACACGACTCCAAACATTTCAGCTGGCAGGAAAGCTGAAAGAAGCGGTGATATGAGGGCTTGCGTTCCCCAGGGAAAGTGTATAAAAGCACCCTCATAATACCCTTTGTCTCTTAAGCAAGATAAAAGCTATTATGAATTAAATATATCAGTTCAGTTAAGCCTATAAAATATTTTGTGGTGTTTTTTGCCCCTTAAATAAAGCGCAGTCTGTGTATATGAAAGATACATTGTCTTTGACGCATTTAAATTATTCCTTGGGAATTTAATATAATGTAGGCTTTAACACATCTGAGCTTAAAATAGGGAATACTGAAACGATATTTTGCTGGACGTTGAAACATGTTCTTCAAAAATAGTTACAGTTAAACACAAATCATAACTGCGCGCTTCCCCTACATGAAATCAGTGAGTTTTGAATATGTGAAATGAGACGAGACTAAGAATATGATAAAAAAATAAATAAATAAATAACAATCTAAAATTGTTTCTCTAACGGTATTTTCTGTGTTGAATTTAAACAACCTGAGTCAAGTTGCGCGTTTGTGCGCAATCATCGGTGCGCAAAGCTCCCAATATGAATCTCACACGACAACAAAGTCTTTACGGCTCAGAAATAATTTTTATTTAAGTATCAACATTTTTAAATAAATAAATATTTTTGAGTTACACTGGAGGTATAATATCAGAGTGGTCCCAGTTATGCGACAGTGGTGGATATTTTTGTAAGTGACAGTTCCATCCACAAATTCAGCAGTGCCCCCCGCAAAAGTACTAATAACAATGTTGCTATGGATTGGGGACTTGTCTTTGCAAAAAATGCCCACCGTGCTCTTCAGATTGGCAGCAACAATGGGTTGTTTTCAGAAAAAAACTACATACAATCCGTACAACATGTATACAGCTATACAATAATTCAGAGCAGTTCTCTGATTAAATATTTCTTTATATACAAACGACCGAACACAGTGCGCACAGTCTTCTTTCTTTTCATCCCCTCTTTTTGGCAGCAATCAAATCTCATCAAAATCAAGAATTATGTATGGTAGCAGTTCTATGGGGAGACGGACAGATCCACATCCTCTTTTTCTGACGAGGATGGAGATGCAGGTATGTCGTCGTCCTCCTCTTCCGAGCAACGGGCCGCGGACAGGGACGAGCATTTGCAGTTGTGTGATCCAGTCCTCTGACCGCCGCTCTTTCCCTCCTTTTTGTGCTTCACTCTGCGGTTCTGGAACCAGATTTTCACCTGCTTCTCTGACAAGTTCAGGTAAGTGGCGATCTCGATGCGCCTCAGTCTCGACAGGTACATGTTTGAGGTGAACTCTCGCTCCAGCTCCAAAAGTTGCGTGCTGGTGAAGGCGGTGCGCATGCGCTTGCTACTCTGAAGTTTTCCATTGTTGTTTTCTGTTGAAAATAAAAAAGTAAAGCAGTTAAAACCCGCTTATTTGTAGAAATAAAAACAAAAAAAGGGGGGTAAATACTGTGAAATGAGCCTCTACTCACCAATGGAGATGCAGTGGAACTGCCTTGGGTCTGGAACCGTGTACGCAGCCTGGTATATCCCCGGAGCGTGGCTGAGGTTCACGCTGTTGGATGTGGAGTGTTGCCTGGATAGAGCGGAGTGGCAGTACTGCGAGCCAAAGGGAGGAAATGAAGCTTTGAGGAGCGGTAGTGTCGGAGGAGATGGATGAAGCTGGGATGCTGCCATGCACAGCGGGCAGAAGCACAGCAGTCCGGCTTTCCTTGAGTGGCATGAGCCCGGCAGCGGATGGTGCGGCGAGTGCACAGCGTATGGGAACAGAGGTGGGTTACTCTCGCTCCCCTTGTCGTTGGCCTCCCTCAAAATCAACGAATCCACGAGAAAAGACCTCGGCATGTTTGCAGAACTTGTTGCTCGTTGGCTGTATTCTGAGCCTCGATGCGTCAGGGTGCTCTCAGTAAGACGGTGGACAGCGAAGTGGTGCTGAAGGCGCACGGCCTCGCTTTAAATAGCTGCGGATAGACTGGCTTCGGCCATGTGACGGTTACGCTGCAAGCGACCGAGAGCTCTCAATAGGGTTTTGTGCCTTTCTCTAGGCATTCCCACTGCACGCTTCCCCATTATTTCACTTGTTAACTAAATGAACTGCATAATGTAGTCTATTCTTGTCAACCCCACCCACGCCGAGAGAGGCGGCTCTACCCATTCTCCCTTTTATCATCACTCTCATTTTTATCATGGTGGAGAGCTTAGATTTTCCAGGGAAAGCATTTCTCCCTCATTTAGAAAGTGAGTTAAGTTTTGTATGAGATGTTAAGCAGGGTGAGTTACTGAGAATTGAGCTAGAAGTGTCGACAAAACGGCCATAGACAGCTGGATGAAGAATAAAAGTTTGCATCCTTGTTAGGGTTTAATCAGATCAATTAAAGTCAAACTTTCTCAAAAGTTTCTTAACTTAAAAAGAGCAGAGGCAGTCGTCAGAACCCCGCACATCTTGCCAGAATAAATGTTAAAAAGTTTTATATGACATCTATTGTGTTCCATCCTTTTCTGTGTCTATTCAAAAATATTAACCTGGAGACGGTTTTGATGTTAAATTGGTTAAAGTTTGTTTTAGAAACGCAGAGGTTCCTGACAGGTTAAAAGCGATACATGTATTAACAAAATACTTCTGTGAATATCCCTAAAACAAAAAAGAATTTAACTGATTACATAGTTGTGTGTAAAATAAACAGCAAAATAAACTTTTTTTTACTTAAACTTAAAAAGTGATCAAACATGGACAATATGGGCTCCAAAAAGCGAGTTTCTCCTAAAAACACCTCTGTTATAAAAATGCATTTATTTCAGCACTAAAACCCTCTCAAAAAAATATCACGGCAGCTTTTAACTATAGGTATATACTTCTACAGAATATTCACTATAATTCTGGATTATTGTAGCAACTTTTTCCTCAAAATATGTTTATGAAATTGTCTGGTTGACCTTTTTAACCCATCATACCTTTAAAGTGGCTGAGGTTGTAGTCCTTAGTTCAAGCAGCAGGTGGTGCTAGAGAGAGAAATCTGCCCTTTATTGAAAAACTGGGTTAATTGAATATTCCCAACACAAGTTTATCTATGTTTAATAATTAGTTCATAACTTCATCTCAAAAGGCCTTGCTGCTTTTATTGTTTCACAACTTGCGAGTTGTGAAACAATAAAATATCTCTGCCTTGTGCTGCATACCACCTGAAGAAAATGCCCTCTGAGATGTTCATGTGCTCCTCTGTCAGAGGCTCCTGCAGGCACATAAACAGGTAGTTTGAACAGTTGCACTTTTACATTTCCCAGTTTAGACTCCAGAAGTGATGAATGAAAGAAAATCCTCAGGTCTATATTCTACCTGAAATATATTTATAGGTTATTACCTAAATAAATTAGCCGCTGATTTTGAATTTTACAATATTTAACACCAAATTTACAAGCTCATCAATGTATTAGTTCATATATCATATCTAACATATATTTTTAGGGTCTGTTTTTTTTTTTTTTTTTTTTTGTACAATCCCTGTCCGATCTTCTGTACTTTAGTCCCTGCATCACTGACGTAAACATGGACGCAACAGCTGAATGTAAAGTTTATGCTTATCCATTTTAGGGTTAATGTGTCATTTCTGTGCACAAAAAAAAGGGACAAGTCATTGCCTGGAGGCAGCGCTGTTAAAGAGCAGTGATTAATTCCTTTGCTCGGGCCCCTGCCGAGTCGGAGGGGGAAAGAATATGTAAAAATAACCAGGTTTTCACTCCGCGGCCCTCATTGAATGTCATTGTGGAGGGCTTTCAATGAGAGAGAAAGAGAGTCGAATTAAAGTGTGTGACAGCGGCGGATAGATGCAACAAAGGCGACTCTGTCATAGAGGAGCCCTGCGCGCTGCGCGTCAAACCCCCGCCTTGCGCTCCGATTGAATTAACTAATAGGAAAACATTTTCTTTCACTTTAGGGTCTTTTTGAACAACAACTTCAAAGGGAGCTTACTCGTAACGTGTGAGTAAATAGTGCAATGAGAGCTTCTACCTATTTCTGATAGAGACAAACAATCTATGAATCATAAACATTGTAAATAGATATCATCATGCGTGCTTTTCTATATAGAAGGAATCCACACTTCAGTGCGATGCTGCATGATTTTGGCTCATATGAAAAGGGCTTAATTCCCTACATTTACACCTTTATTCTTCAACAAATAGCTAAACTGACACCTGCAATTAAGTTGTGCCATGCATAACCCTTTTAACGAGATCCAATCAGCAAGACAAAAAGCTGTCGCACCTATTAGGCTGCTTCATTTTCATTTCATTTTTCAATTAGTCTGTGGTTTTTGTTTCCATTAGAAATCCAGTCTCTGATGTTTAAAAACTCGCCTGCTTTTGTTCCAATTTTAATGCAGATAACAGGTTAATGATGTATCACAGTATATAATCAGACGTTAAAAGCTTTAATATAATCACAAAGAGCTCGGGCTGAGTGCAGGTGGGGATGCTCAGACACAAAACAGACCAAACACATTCAATCTTTTTTCCTTTTTTTCTGTGGCAGGTATATGTGCGGGGGCAGCTCAGTGCCTATTGCTCGACATAAAGATGTTATCAGAGGCCCTAATTTTCAAATTATGTACAGCAGTCATCCCGTGGATAGGAATAGAGGTTTCATAGGGCCGTCACGCAGGGGAGGCTCATCCCTAATTTGCAATCCCAACTGGAGACTGACAAATAGTTTTGACCTCCCTCTGGAGGCGCGGGCCAGAAGTGCAAAGAATCCCATTCTCCCCATGATCACTTGTTACTGAGATAAATAATCGCGGGAAATAGCGCTCTCACATTATAACCACTCTGTTGTGCTTCTGTTCAAACTGGAAGCTAAAGAAAGATACATCTAGATCCACTTATGATTCACCATCACACCCATAACTGCCTTTATTTTTTCTAGTGACAAGGCAGCAAGCCAGGATAACTCAGCACAGTTCTGTGTGCACTGAAAAACAAACTGTTGGAGTTGAATCAATTCATATGGAGCTTTAAAAATAACTTTTTGCTGTTTAAGTTAAGTTAGAAATGTTACAACTCAGGTCCCACACTACATATAATAAGTCGGAGCCATGAAAACACATTTATAAACTAATAGCTGTCATTATTTAGAGGTAGATTAATCAACACATTTGTGCAGCAACTCGTTTCATCTGGTTTCGTCCCATGTTAAATAAATGCAAAAGGACCTGAAAAATGCAAAATAAATAAAACATTTTTAAAAGAGAAATAAACATAAATTCTGTTCTTTCAAGCTGTAGAACATGCATATCAACAACATAGATGTAAAATGTAAAGAATGGAGAACAAAAATTTTCTATACAAATTTAAGGATCAGTAAGGCTGTCAAACTTAAAATGGACACTAACTTTATTTCTTGCTCCAACACAAAACAAAAGTTTTGCAACAGTTAGGAACTTTTACTGAGATTAAATTTTTGCTAATAATGGAACTCATACAAACATAAGACACTTATTATTCCCTGCTGTACATACCAAATGAATAAAGATTAACTGACACTGCATTGTCAGTTTAATTCCAACTAAAATGTTTGGAGAAAGATTTTTATTTTATTTTTTAAAACCAAAATAAAGGTTAAATTTGACAGGTTAAATTCTTCTTCCAAGACCGAAAGACCTATAAACCACAGTTTCAGTAGACCTTTACTGATGCTTATTCATGTTGGACACAATAAAAATAATATCATTCATACTATTCTCAAAACACCCAACAAAAGGTTTATTTCAGTTGCCAATATTTAACGTTCTCCAATGTTCCTTTTTGTAGTGAACAAACAGGTGGAAAAGTGTTTTAACATAACTGTTTGATTCCCGGGAAGCAATGCCCCTGCTATTGTAAATTATTTATAAGATATTAGGATGGAACAATTGCCATCACTCAAATTCGACCCTGATGATAACACTGACCATTGCCTGCTGTGCCGTTGGTGGAAACATTTTCAGGGAGCTTTTTTACGCAATTATACCCAAAGATCTCGTGCCTGATGACATAAAGAGAGCAGTCTGTTTATGGAGATGTAGTCAATATCTCCTTTTCTTTTTGATATGAATAATTCATAGTTTAAGACACTATACCCCCTTGCTTAATATGTACACACACTTAAACACCCACACATCTTTAATACAAATGATGGTTTTAGCTGACAGTGTAACAGGATTTAAGGTCCCACAGGGGTTTGGGCCCAGCCGTGGATGGGCGCTGTGACTGGCGACGTGACACAGAGGGCCGGCTTGCCCCTCCTAATCTCCCCCTGAGGCAACATCACAGGCTGCAGATCCCGCTGCACCTCTACGGACACACAAAAGCCTGATTATCATTCATATGCTCACCAGAAACACCAGCGCAATAGATAACAGATGACACATAAGTACCAGCTGAATGGTGCAATATGTTTGGGCTGTTGGAGTCTATAGGGACTAATGAATCCTTAAGAGAGAGGGAGGTGGACAAAGAGAAGCTGTCAGCTGAAGGAGCATAAAGTGACAGATATAAGGCTCCACAGGTGAACTTGTACATAGAGAGTTAGAGACTAAGAATACGGTTTAGGCTTAACATTTATATTCTTAACCTAAAAGTAAAAAAGGAGTAAAGTCTTGGAATTGCTTTTCTAAACTCATTGATATTATCTCAAACTACTTCTGCTGTTAGTTTTTAGTTCATATAAAAGATATAATATCATATTTGATTTAAGTCACACGAACATTTTAAATGAAATCCACTAAATGAATTATTTTGTAAATAATTGGGTCCCAGCAAGGTTTAATTTTAATAAAAAAGATACCTGAACTTTGCCTTTTGTTTTATGCCTGAATACACTTCCCAAATGTTGAGTGTAGTTTGTGAGCTTTCACCTGCTCTAATCTACATTTAAACTAAATGTAAATGTGTTTCCTTGTCATGATTTCTGTAAAATTCTGTATTTTAATAATGCTCTTTGGCAAACAAAAAGCTTTCAATTAGAAAAATGCATTTGTCC